TATATATTATATATATATAGATTTATAATTTTCATCAATTGTGATAGCTTAATTTACTCACCTGTTTGCACGAATTACTGATGAAGGCTCAGCAATATTAGTATTCTGATCAGAAATAATGTCAACTGTTGTATTGCCCCTTGTGTTCACTACAGCTGTTGAACATATAGTTGTGGCAACTGCACATTTAATTGTATTTAAGTATTGTTGAGTCGTATCATTTATATCATCTGAATTTGTGCATTTTAAATGTTGAGCAATATTTGATCCAAAGTTACTGAGCATATGAATATTCTCTGGTGAGTTACTGCTTACATCATCATTGTCTTTCAAATAAGATGCATCTTCTTTTGAATGGACAATAGGATCAGCTATTACAGGTACTGAAGAATATTCGGAAACAGTTCCAAAAGCCTCGTTTTCTTTGACTTTCTGTTTTTTGTAAAAACTTATACTTTCTTCGGCATTATCCTCCAGTGAAGAATTTTTATCGATTTTTAACGCCTCATTGTTGTTATAAATATTTTCTGGCTTTTCAGTTATAGCATTCATTGATGAGTGAGATATCTGAGATAGATCACAAAATAAAGTCTTTACTTTAACGATATTCGGCCAATTATTAGTTGTAATATCTAATGAAAGCTTTTTGATCGGAGTTTCATCAATAGAGATATCTGCTACATGATGTATAAGATTTCTAAGAATTAACACATTGAAGTTTGTCATAGAAGAGTACATTCTTGGTATGGGCATAACAATATTCATATCCTTGAACATATGATCCATAATATTTTTCACAATAGAACTATTAATTTTCATTTCAATTATATTACTTATTTCAATATATTTGTTATGTTTTATAACAAATGGCTCTACCACTTCTTGCTTTATTGGTGTATTTACATCTCTATAAAGTACTGAAGTACATGAATGTACACTATCATCGCTAAATTCGGAGTTAGTATCTTTACATGTACAATTTATTTTTGATATCTTTGCTTCTGGTATGTTATTTACAATTGCGCTTTTCCAATTCGTACTATTATTTACACGATATACATTTATTCCTTCTACGTCATTGCTGGTTGGCATATTATGAACATTTATAAAGACATTTCTATCACTATTACTGTCAATACTATACATTGTGGTAACTTCATTATTTAAACAATTCGTTTCTACATTTATCTTCAACGTATTATAACATTCAAGTGGTTTATTATTTACATTACAGACACATTTTTGATTACATACAAAACATGCTGTATTACTTCCTGTACTATTTACATTAAAAGCAGAATTATTTCCAACATTATCTTTTGTACTTATATTTAATATTACTAAATTGTGCATTCTGTCAGACGTATGTACAGTATGCATATCATTGCTTACATCATACATCATACTACACGACAAAGATTTGCTATCACTAGTAAAATTAATACTGTCTGTTAAAGTTTCATTATTTGTTTCTTTTATTAGTATAGGATCTACTTTATCTAGTATTCCTGCTATATTTCGTTTCTGTACAACTGCTTTTAAAGCAGAATATTCAGGTATACCTATTAATTTAGGTACAGGTACAATCGTGTTACTATTTGAAACATGCATTAATAAATTATTATTCACAATTTTAGAACAAGTATCAATAATATTCGAAACAATGCAATCTGCAGCTAATACTACATCTTTGTTAGTAACACCAGGAGGAAATTTTGATTGTATATTTTCAGATAATAATTGATTATCTAAAGTAGGAGTGGACTTTCGTCCTTCTAAATAGACATGTAAGTTTTTGCTTTCCTTACTATGTTCAACAGATTTTTTTTCTGTATCGACTGAATCATTTTCACTATCTTTCTTGAGTAAAAGATCTACTTCTTTGGAACAAGGCTTATTACTTTGTCCAGGAGCATTTATATTACCTTCGAATCTAAACGATGGGATCATATTCGCTAAACTTTGTAAACTTGGCAATTGAGAAACATTGAAAAATTTTGATTTACTCTTTAGCGATACCGAGGACTCTTCCGTTTCACGATTATAAATCCTATCTCTCTTATCTTTTATGTAATAATGGAATTTATCTCCAAGAGTCATCATGCTGTTTATGCTACCTTGAAACGTATTTTTACTTTTCAACTGATTAATAGGAGTGGAATCAGAAAAAAAACAACTAGAATGTTGAAACAGCGAAAGTAATTTTCCTAAATTAGAAGTACTTTTTTGTATTGGATCGTGTTTCGTTTGCGACTGCAATTCTACACTTTCGTTTGTACGAGTATTTGTTACTTTATCCGTTGCATCGTAACCTTTCTTACAAATTATTGATTTATCACTTATTGTATTATAAGGCGGACTTTTTCCGTTCCTATCTGTAGGTGTAAACGTTTTTACATCTTCTGTATTTTCGTTAGAACGATTTTCTACACTCTCGATATCTGTCATCGTTGAAACATCTTCCAATCGATTCGAAATAATTTGATTGTCTGGCACATCATCTTTCTTGCGTTCTAGACTAATAGAACTTATATTATCATCAGGCTGAGTTTCAACCTTTGTCTTAACAAAAGATTTATTTGTATTTAATTCTTCTACAGGATATCCAAGTATCGTCGGTGCATACGTTTTTTCTACCACATTTAAAGCTAGATGAGACAAGTCGTTTGAAATACTTCGAAAACTTTCAATGGTTTGATTATTCTTTTCTGATTCAGATGCGAGTACGGTATTCAGATCATCTAAATCAGTAGATTCTTTAATATTAACTTTCGAACTTAAATCAGTCGATTCTGCAATATTAACTTTTGGATTTAAACCAACCATGATATCAGCCTCGGTCGTAGTAATAACAGGTTTAGATAAAGATACAGTATTTGCTGATTCAACAACTGAAACACGAAATCTAGATGACCCACTTGCAGAAGTGACAAAGGTAGGTGATGATCCAAGGGATGGAAGAACAGATGATGACGATGGTACTGAGGATTCTGTAGTACGTAACGTTTCTGGAACTCGGGACACCACAAACCGACTTCGCGAGGGACTTAATATTGGACTGGCTATGGGTGAAGAGGCGGGACTAGGGGCTGGAGAACGAAGACGACCTCCATTAATACGTTTCGGTTCGAGCATCGATCGTCCAGGCTCATCTTTTTGTATTGAAATCATGGGTGATAAAGAACATGGTAATGTTTGACAAGTAAGCGAAATTTTACGAGTGGTTGCACTACAGAATCTGCTATGATATGAATTATCAAAACCTTCGCTATTTTCTTCTAATATACGACTTTTCTCGTTTTCCAAACAACAGCTTCGAATTTCAGCTACAAGCTGCGTGTACTGAAGCAAGGTCTCGTTTAAATTATCCTATTATTAACATAAAAAAACAAATAATGTTTAAAACAATATAATATTTTTAAATATTTTTCCAGTGAAAAATGACACTAATTTGTTCACTTACCACTTTTATATCAGGTTTATCATCTAAATCTATTTTAGTAATATTTTTATTCTTTTTCATAGCAGAACTGAGAGCCTTCATTCCAGTCAAATGTATTCTATTATTTCTTAAATCTATCCTCTAAAACAGTAAAACAGACATAAGTTGAATACAAAATGATTTTATATCCTTTTTTATATTCTAAAGTTTATGATATTTACTTGCAATGCATGGTTTATTTCAATGATTTCAGATAATGTAACAATTCCATCACATGTAAGCTCAGTTGATTGTATTCCCAATTGTAATAGAACATGGTTCTTTTTCAATGCATCTTTTATAATCAATAACAACTCATCAGACAACATATTTTTTCCAATATTTAGTGTCTCTAACGTCTTAGACAATGCCTATATAAACAGCATTAATATAATACAAGTGCATATAAATACATAAAGCAATAACTATAAGTGTATAGTTCATACATGCGTAACTATAATGATAAAATAAAATTACATACTATAATACGTGCGAAATAGGGAGATGATTTTTTTGTCAGTTGGTTATTCCATAATACTAATATGCTTAAACCTTTACCATCTTTGTCCTCGTTTATTTGATTGATGAGACCTTCTAGGATATCACGTACACCATCATCTTGAATGACATTATTACTAAAAGAACATTTTACTTCAGAATAATTTTCAATATATATTGTAAAATATGTAAATTAGTTTTTTATTAGAAAGATTCATTAAAAATATATGTAATCATAATTAAAAGACAAATGCTATAGAATTATACATCTTATTGTTTTGTTTTATTATCCATTACCTCTGTTTGTTACGTACCTAATATCAAGTAGCTGTATATGATTATTTAATCTAAGAAGAGAACCAAGCTGTATTGCATCATATAAATTCAGCCCATTGTCAGCTAAGTAAAGTTCTCTTATTCCAGTGTTCATTTTTAATGCTGCAACTGTTAAAAGCACTATGTTACTGTAACATTATCAGAAACTTATTTCATCAATTTTATTTGAGTAAATTGTAACTACTTAAAAATAAATTAATTAAAAAAGCATGAAACTAACAAACTGTATTGCATAATAAATACCTAGTGTGACGATAGATCTTCCTGAAAGTCCACAATTTTCTAATTTAAGCACATGTAGATGACAGACTAATCTTAATGCACGACTCAAGATATTCATGTATTGTTCATTAAGGATTACATCCTTAGCTTCAAGATGTTCTAAGCATTGGGTCTAAACAAATAATGATTCCATTAATTATGTATTAATCAACATAAAACTTAATTTTAAACACTCATATATTTAGTGTCATTTCTAATTTTTCCGTTATTCATAGTCATTCTATACACGATAATCAATGAAATAATAAAGATAATATTTGAAACTAATAACCATATAAATCTTTTCAAATGAAATGTACCATATTATATATACCTTTCTTATCATATTTGCACATGCTTGCCAACCATAAATTCCAATGCCTTGATTAGACGAAATGTTCAAGTGCTTTGCAGATTCATAATATTCTAACATATCAAATAATATCACAGAACTCTATAATATAAAAATGACAAATGATATCAAATATCATTTCAAAAGAAATTACTATTTTTGATCAAATTTTTTAATTAATAGAAATACCTCATCATCCAAAGATGTAGCTTCTAAATTAACTTTATTAAATCGAACTCTTTTGAAAATTTCCTCCAATGGTTCCGCATGATTAATATCCAATGTCTGTCCTTTTAAATCTAACTCTTCACTTCTCAATTCCAATGTATCTAAATTCTGCACAGTAATCATTATTATCGATACTAAATATCAAATAAAAATATATGATACATGTATTTTCATGATATGTATAAACTATATTCATAGTTATGTTTAAAATAATTTTTTATATATTTGAAGTATTTAAATATTATTTTGAAACACAAAGTAAAATATGATGCAGATATCTAATCTTAAGTATTTTGAGCTTGAATTTAATATAATAAAAATCTTTCTTCTATATATGTATATATTTTTATATTTATATATTTATTTAAATAGATATTGTGTAAATATAATTTTATATTCCTGCTTTTTATGTTCTCTCCATTTCTTTTATTTGTGTTTCAATATTTTATAACTTAAATATATACATTTGCGCATATACTTGTTATATCCGTAACTATTAGTTTGAATATTAGTTATAAAACTACAAATAATTAATAATTAGCATGATTAGATATGTAATCAATATGTATTTAATATTAGATGCTTTGATATTTTTTTTGATCCACCAATATTGCATACAAATATTTGGAAAAGATGCACTTTTACCTTAAGCTGATTTATAACAATCTCCAGAGGATCTGAATTGTGTTTTAAACAGGATTCCTTGTATGATGAGATTACATCTTCACAATTCACATTTTCAGCTGTGAACAATTAATCAACATATTTTTAAAATATAAAAAATTAAAAGTTCAACATATTAAGATATGTATGACTAACAGATGATGCTGGAGGATTCTGTCGATTATATAAGATGCAACATAATACATTTGTTCTTGTATGTTATTCATAAGAACATTTTTTCATTACTTTCAAATACTGAATACGCCTCATGTAATAGGTCTCACATATTATATTCTATTCATGATCAAACCTATTTGACAAAATGTTACTAACAACACATATTATAAACATAACTCTGAGCTTCAGTTTATTACTTGCATTTCATAATTACAATGTTTTTAACACGTTCGCTGCGGCGTTCATTGGTGACTCACCAAACTTTTCATTTGTAGCAATGACTTGATCATTAACTAGTGTCTATATTTCCATTGAATGTTCACCTCTCTATCACAACAAAGCAAGTTGATAAATTTGACCCTAGAAGCAGAGGATCAAGTAGAAATCAACTCTCCATCTTTTTCTTGAAAGTACAGCCAAATATTTACTTTAACATGAATGTAAGACATATATCAAAAATCAAATACTGTTTTTCTGTAGAATATAATTGTTTTTATTAAAAAAATTAACTTCCATTTCATATGCATTATTCCACAGAGAACGTATTAATACAATGATGTAAACTAAATGCAACTGCATAAAAATGACAGATATACTAAAATACTCTCACATACCATAGTTTCACATTATTTCATTAAAAAAGAATTTATTTAATTCTCATATAATGTTTTTAAACAGTCAAATGTGTACTTGAATAAAATTGGTATAAATTCGAGAATATAACAAATTCTTTATTATATAAGACAATTTTATAATATACATTGTTCTATTTAAAATAATCTAATTTACAAATTACAATTAAAACAATACGGTTTAAAAGTAATTTACAGGTTAATTATATATTGTACATACTTCAATATTGCATCAAACTTATAATTAGTATATGGTTCACATTGTGAAATCTTAAACGTTCTGTATTTGGCATGACCTATAAAAAAACCTAATGGCTTAGTGCACTACAACTATATAAGTAAATAATTACAAAAATGATATTAACAAATGATGTAACTTATCATTTTATATTTAAGATTATAGCCATTATGTTATGATTGCTAATAACATCTTTAAAATAAAATTTAAAGAAGTTATTTTATCAATTTATAATTTATAAATTACAATTCAAATTCAGATTATAGTTTTTAATTAATCATACTATTTTGTTATTATAGAAAAGTATTATTAAATAAATACAGTTTCTATATAACTAAACATATATTCTTATTAATAAGTGCCAAAATAATATAATTAAACATATAAAATAAATTAAACTAGCTTAATACCTTTTAATATACTTTTAGATTATATGCCTTTGAAAATATTTGTGATTTTATTAAATTTTAAAAGTTCTAGTGCTTCTCTAAAGAATAATTAACATATTAGATTAAACTTAAATTAAGTAACTTTATGAAATATGGATATTTTTCTATAGTTAATTGGTAAATAATTCAAATGTCCATGTAATTAATTTAATGATAAATAAAGTACAGATTCTCGAATTATATAGTATAAGATATAGATCTCTATAAGTCACAAATTTCTCTAATTACGTTAATATACATTTCACATAGAGTTTTTACAAACATTTATATATAAACATCTTTTAACAATAATCAAATTTAATGCTTAAATTATTACTAAGAATATACAGTTTTTTGAATTATTAATATTTATTAATCAATACAAGTATAAAGTACAAATCTCTGTAACTCACAACTAAGTAAACAAACATCATACATACATTTGTTAGAAACATTTATATTTACGTATCTATAAAGTTAACTTAACGACGATTAAAATATTATCGTAGATAAATGGATTCTTGTGAATCATTAATATTTATTAATTAATACAATTACAGAGCATAGACCTTTAAGAGCCAGCAATATAAAATGAACAAATGAATGTAAGGATGAGATGTAAGATAAAAATATTTATCCTCACCGAATTTCCATGGATTGGCCGGTTCCAGGCATCCCGTAATCAAGTGATTGTCATTTGTTGGGAAATTCACACGTCGAGGAAGCTTTTTTTTGCTCAATGCCAAGGAGCTTCGCAATTTTCTACCATCGATCAAAATATAAGGCGACAATGGGACATTGCTTGTACCAAATCTCGACCTTCTCGTCGTGTGCGATATCGTTCTCGGAGGAAGTTCCTCAGGATCGACCTCATCTTTCAAGGTCGTAAGCGAATTCTCGCTGATCTGCGAAACTGAATTCGCTCCTTCGCTCATATTCAACAAATTTCTAACATATTTTCTCGAACGGAATTTACTTCACTATAAACACGCACACACGCATTCACATGCACATCGCACAATATGTCAACGCGGCTATTTCGTAGAATTGTTAACGTCGATATCGAAGCAAACATCAGTTACTCGTATGTTACATCCGCCATCTTTATTACTGTCAGGCAAGTCGACAACTGTAAAACTCAACACCTAAGTTGGTATCACTGCGCTGGTATAATTAATGTATTCAATATTTTTTAAATCTTCGTTTAATTGTTTTTGTAAGACATTTTTGATGCCATATAAAGTTTACTTAAAATATATCTTTATAAAAAATGACCGATCTATAAATTTATGGTTTATCAAATTTGTACTTTTCTTGCCTTATATGGTATCAAGTAAATTATAAAAGCAACAAGGATAGACGTATTTTCTATCGCATAAACAATTTGACAGAAACGTAGATTCCTTATATGGTCAAACCGAAACCGCATAAGTAAGAAAAACTTTATTTGCTAAAATTTAAAGTACAGTAAAAATAAAATATTCTACAATATCAATTATCCACATAGTATCAATTATCCACATATTAAAAAGTATCTATTTGTTCAAATATGAAATAAAAGCTGTTTATCTTTTCTCACATTGCAATATAAAATTACATATTAAGTTTGTATAATATAACCTAAAAATTTCTCAGAATTTTATTTTTAAGTAGAAATGGAGACTATTTTGCAACAAAAAATAATAGAAGCAACTCACTGCGTTGAAAAACAATTAGACACAGAGATAGAAAAGTTGGAAAATCTGGATATTAGTGATTTTGAAAAGTTGCGTGAACAACGTTTAAAGAAGCTAAAGTTGCTTCAACAACAAAAGCAGAATTGGTTGGCACTGGTAGTGTAACTTTTACTATTTTATTATTATATAGTATTTTAATCTCTGAATAATGTTGTCCTTCTGCAATCAATGTAATCTTTTTATCACAAAAAAAAGATAAACTAGTTAATCAGTTTATAGTATTTAATTCACTACTTAATAATCCATTTTTATATACAATTAAAATTGTTAATTCAACGTTTATGACTATTTTTAGGGTCATGGAGAATATTCAGAATTATATGATGAAAAAGAATTCTTTGAAATTTCAAAAAAATCTCAAAACATTGTTTGCCTGTTTTGTAAAGACGATTCTCCAAGATGTAAAATAGTAGATCATCATTTCAAAATTCTTGCAAAAAAGCATATAGAAGCAAAGTTTTGTAAGTTAAATGTAGTACGATGTCCATTTTTAACTGGTAAGTTAATTATTGTCCATATTTTCTACATTTCTTTAGTGTATTCTCTTAAACTTTGCTTAAATCTAAAAATTTGTAATATTAATCTATATTATACATTTACAGAACGTTTAAGGATCAAAATTATTCCCACAATTGCTCTCATTGTTAATGGTAAAACTAATGATTACATTGTGGGATTTACTGATTTAGGAAATCGTGATGATTTTTCAACTGAAATATTAGAATATAGAATTTCCCTTTCTGGAGCAATAACATTTGAAGAGAACTTGTCATCAGAAAATAATAAAAAACCATGGTTATCACAAGTTTCAAAACCTAAAACTATCAAAGGACCTAATGGTTTAAATTCTGATGATTCGGATGAAGATTAAAAATAATTCATAATTTTTAACGACTCATTAGCTAATATTTATGAGCTTTTACCTGTATGTAAAATTTAATTAATAAAAATTAATAATCGTTAAACGAGTAAAGACAATTTTAATATACAAAATAGCTATATTATATAAGATATTTAAATATTATTTTATTTATAATAAATATTGTTATATATAAAATAAATCTTTTAATGTAAAACATTTCTAAGAAATAAACATTTTAAATATTTTTTTATAAATAAAGTTGCTTATAACTTTAAATTGCTTACTTAAATTTGCTTACTAGTATATATTATATAATTCTGTCCAAATCTATTATAATATGATAAAAAAAATCATTTAAAAAAATTTAATTTTTTCATATTCTTATTCAAAACAAAGTAACTCCTAAAGTCAAAAGATAATTTGTATTATATGTAATTACAGTAATTACATATTATTCATAAATAGCTTGAAGTTAAAAATCTATGTGTAAAAAATAAAAATTCATATTTTAAGAAATATTAGAAAATATCTTTTTATTAATCAGTTGTGACCACTCAAACAAATTTCAAATTATTTATCATTTACAACAGTTTTCAGAAAATCTTAAACATTATTTATTAATTTAATAATTCAAATTTGTTCAATATTTCAAAGAATGTTCTATTCATTTTCAAATTTTATGTCACATATACATCGACATGATAATAAATTTAATTCAATTATTTTTTAAATCATTTTTATTTTTTGCAAAACTATTAATAAAATAAATCTAAACATATCTTCTTTCTAAATCATTTAAACCTATCAAAAGTAAAAAATAAGAAAGTATAATATTTTGATGTTAAAGATAAAATAAATGCTTTCTAGGAACAATCATATAAGAAGTATATCAAAATATGAAATTATATCAATTTATAACTAAGCTTAAACAAAGATATACTAGAATGACTAATAAATGTTTAATTATGTCAAAATTGTATTAAAACAAGTATTAGATTAAAATATATACGTATACTTTTCCAAAATATGTTACAAGTATTTACAAGTAAATTTCACAGAAATGAAGGAAAAGCACAATATATTTTTAACACAGTTTTATTTTCTCACGTGAGCATCACTGACAAAGAGGTGTTATGAGAAGTTTATTATATGAAAATACTTAAAATTCAGATATAAATCAACTTCAAAGAAATAGTTGAGTAGACAAACATAATTATATTTTTAATTAAACAATTCATTATATAATTTTTATTATGATATAATGTCTAAAATATCTTTGCTATTCAGAATATCTAATGGTGCAATTACAAAATCTTTCTAAAATTATAACTTTAAAAAAGTAATAATATATAAAAATGGCAATAGTTTTAAAATTATAATGATGTTAATCTTATGTTACAAAAAGGTAAGGCATGGAATTGTAACATCATTGAAAGTAACTATGAAATTCATTTATGATCCAACTCCATTTAGTTATCATTTATCAAACCTAATTTGATTAATCACTCATGAAAGAATAACTTTTATGTTACTTTACAATAGATTGTGATATTTCTCATAGCCATTTTATTATTACTAATATCATACTTTTTATATTGAATTAAATTTAATTAGGAATATATATTCATATCATTATTACTTATATACATATGTCTTGTATTTATGTATAAGAAATTTATATAATTTAAAATTCATAATATGTTAAATGTAAATTAAAACTTTTCGAATATTCTATTTCTTACGTTTTTTACATGTTTAATAACTAATTTTTAATATTATAATTATGCAATGTATCACAGAGATAATTTTGCACACATTCAAATTTTTTATATGTACACATCGAAATGGAAATTATATTTATAAACCCTTTGCGGATGGGGTTGCTCGACGAGCGAGCGTCGCTGTGGACGAGAGGTATTGGCGCGCGCAGTGGAGAAAATGTACACGTTGAATGTTTGCGTTATTCATTGTCGAGGCTTGTATTATTTTCATCAATATTTAGTTCAACATCATTGTCACTATTACTAGAAATATTGAAACGTCTGAGCCGATTCCTTGCTAAACGGAGTTCGTTCCACTGCCTGAAGCACTATCGTCGTTTTCTATCTTGTCAGATTCAAAATAATGCTCGTCATCACTACTATCGCTATCGAACATGTTCTTTCTGGATATTTTAGGCATCGTGTATAAGGTATTATAAAAAATAAATCATTATAAATCATAAATCATATAAAAAGCTTGCTGATTCATCTGGTAATGTCAATGAAAGATTGAAATTCGTTTTAACTCGACCATCATCCTACATCTCGAGTTTACGTTAAACGGAAGATAACATTTCTAAAGATCTATAATTTTCCTTCATTAAAAACATAATACTGTTTAGTTTATTATACCCACACATAAATACGCATTAGATTATCGCTCAGAAAAATAGACGTATGTCAGCCACTTCAAAATAAGTGTCCGGAACTGTGAACAGATTTTGGCGGCTACATACATGCCAACACGCGTCCGCAAAGGGTTAACATTATGCAATAAACATACTTTAACAAATTACTAAAAGAATTTTTTAAAATATTATAAATGAAAATAAGCAAATATATAATACTGTATCTGCAAAAAGAACTGTAAAAAGAATTACATAAATTACCTTATAATGCCCCTGCTTATGAATTATACGCTGTTCACACTTTTAGAAAACATTTTTATGAAATTACATTAATAAATATATTATGGATAGATAACATCTAGAAATCCTTTTTTACATAAAAGTAGAAGTATTGTTATTATAAAAAATATAAACATTTACGCATATATTTAAAGTATAAAAGCGTATGTTCTCTCTAAAACACATGTGACATGGCAATTCAACTTTATTTGAATTATATATTTAAAATTAGATTTGTTAAAAATGTGTTTTATTACATATATATTATTTCTATAAAAAAAGAAAAAAGAAATAACAACAGAGTGCCAAAAATATGTAAGAAAATGTGATTATGTTTTATCATAAACGATAGTCTGTGTTTTTAATTTTTTGATTTATATAGAAGATATAAAGTAGAACATATTGCCTTTCCATGTATAAAATGATACCTTATTATTTGTTTTAACAGTACATCATAAAACAGATAGTAACCACATATAAGAAGTAATTACATATAATCATTCTTAAATACGTGTTATGAAACAGAAAATAATTACACTTTGTACATGCGTTTCTTACGACTTATGTTCTTTTTTAACAAAAATGCACGAAAGTTTACTGTTACATTAACAAATAAGAAATATTTCATAGATAATTACATATAATTATGCTAATATTTATATAATATAACAAACTCAATTTATATCCAAGAAGAAATGCAAAAACAATCATTGTACTAAATATACTTCACACTGTTTTTGTCACAAAGAGTGTTCTCACTTAAGAAATTGAGATAACTTAGTAAAAGTTGTCTTTCCAAGAGAACATATAAAAATTGCAATAAAGTTTGGAAAAGGCAAACATATTGCAGGAATAACTTTCTTATTTAACCTGATTATTTAGCGTTTGGAGTTGAATCAACTAGTCTAATTAGATTCTAGAATTCTTCTATAGACATCTTTAACTTTGTTCTTTATCAAAAGGATTTTACATTCATATAATTAATATAACTTTACATATTTTTAAAGCAAGAAAAATATTTAAATACTAAAATAAAATTAAACTTTGATTCTTTTTTATTTAAAATCTATGTTAATCAATGAATGAATAGGTTTTGAAAAATTATACTCAATATATTCACATTATTTTAACAACTTATATATATTATTTTGTTCTCAATAATGAAAACAAACTTGACCAGCTAGTTTAAGTAATACGTCAATTTAACTCACTGTACATAGTTTGATGTTTGATAAAGTCATAGAAGTATATGCCTTCTACCTTTAATACGATTTACCAAATTGCATATTTTAAGTGCTGGTCCAAGTTTTAATCCCATATATTTCATCATCATGTCAGAATTTAAAAGTAACAAAGCTTTCCCGTCAATTTCCTGAAAATTTTCTTCGATTACTGATTTGAGCATGTACTATTTGATATATAAATGAATGTATTACTCACAGTAATAAATACTATTATAAAATAAATACAAAATAATATAAAGTGTTAACTTACATGTTTCCTGAATAAATCTGCATGCTGTCCTAATGCAGGATCAGTAACACCAATATAATGTATTACATCTTCAATAGTCCATTCTGCTGGTTCAATAGAAGGTGTACGATTTGTGGAAGTTTCAGATTGGGTAGTGGATGTTGCAGCTTCAAGCTCTGATTATAATAATAATATATCACTTATTTATCAATATTTTTAAATAAGAGAAATTACCTGGAACAGATTTTCGTGGTTGTTTTGCAGCTGTTGGTGAGGATAATGATGAATTGTTTATACTTTGTACAGAATTTTGTTGTGTTTGCTGCTGTGGGATAGTCGACGACAGGTTTTGCTGATTTGGAGACCACCTTCGTTTTTCTGTTGCAGTAGTACTATTAGTTGTAGCTGTAGCAGTATTAACTACTTCTTCGCTATTGGTGGATTGTGGTTGTTGAGTATTTGGACATTTGTTGCAGGGTTCTTTCCTTCTAAATAACATATGTTCACATGCACAAAGATCCTCAAGTTGTCGCCTAATGTATATATAAAAATCTTCTTCTTCCATAAATATAGGTAACCTAACAGAAGTAGGTTTACTCTCTAAAATTAAACTTATAGTTTCTCCTTCGCCACGTTTTAACAGACTCAACATCTGTCTTGGACTCATTGCTGCCATCAAGAAGGCTTGAAATATATCTCTTGTGACATTTAGTATAGGGCCCGTACCAAATTGTGCTGGCATTGCCTTTACTTTACGAGGATCAAAATAGGGACCACATGTGCAATTATGATTTACATAAATTGTAACTGTAACATAATAAAAGTATTGAACGACAAAAGAAAGTATAGATTCAATTACCAAGAGATAAATTTAAGAGAAATAGTATATACCATTCTCTAAAGAATGTGGTTTGGTATTAGCTGTACTAGTATCAGGTTCTGTGGCTGGCTGTGGTGGAGCACTTGAACCAGCAGGACTCACTAAAGCAACAGCTGGTTCTCCATTAGTGCCTCCACCAGACACTGCCATTACTGGTAAGATGTTACTTGTCCTAGACTTAAATCTATTAGGCCCTGTCGCTACAGATATTTATGTATATTACTTAATAAAAATATATACTTTAATGATATAAGTTAGGAAAATATTATAATTCTTACATTTCTGTCTAGGTGGTTGTAATGGATGACCACTTTTAAAACACCAACCAGCAGGGAAGATATCTCTAGAGTCAAAACGACACCAATAATCAAACGCTCCCCGCCAGCCATCAAATGTAATATGAATCATGTCTTCTTTAACTGCACCAACAGTTGCTGTGCAAATAAGTTGTGGATTCTTTTTATCTATGGCTTCCAATTTATGTCCAATTTCAAACATATTAGAACGCGGAGTTTTTGGCTCGCGTTTAAATACTTTTGCAGGTGCCATTTCAGCACCATTCAATGTTTTCAGAAGAAACATTGGCCAACTGGAAGCATTCATTCGGAAGCCCAATGGTGGTTGCAACATGCCACCAGATTTTTCGCAATGACCAATTGGATTAATTTCATTACTGTCAACTAAACGCCAAAAATCATTTTTATTATCTGAACCATCCAACCTAAGTCTAAGACGAGGACCGAGAACTCCAACTACAGTCGCGATACATGTTGATGTTAAATTACGAGGATCAAGAGCTTCTAATTTCATACCCATTTTGAATTCATTAGTTGATGGAATTTCATGCTAAAAGATAATTTCAATATTATAACGTATACTTTCCTTTTTTATGATTTAATGTACCTGTTTGAAACATTCTATAGGTGCAGCTTGGCTGTTTGTTTCTTTTAAGTAAAGATCCCAATCAAAAGTTTGATACGTTTCATACTGAAATGGACCAGTAGAAGTTGATGGGGAGTGAGATATATTTGTATGGCTTGTATTTGTAAATGATTGAGTTGTAGAAGGAATATTATTTCCACTTATTAATCCCGATGGTGCAAGAGATGGTGCAGGAGATGACTGGTCCCTATTATCTATTTTAAAAAAATGCAATTCTCATTAAAATATATTAATACATACTTCAACTTTTTTTAAACTTTTGTAAATTACTAACTTTTCTTTATATCTGTTTGTCCTTCCTTCTTTTGATGTTTATTTAAACAAAATGGAGAGCAAAAGTCTTTTGTAGGCCCATCCTTTTGCTCTAATCTCACTGGTGTACCTCTGATAACATTGTCGCATTGAACGCAAGCACCTCGTATATAAGCCTTGCGAAATTCTGATAAACAGGTTTCTGAGCAGAATTCTTTCTTTCCATGTTGCGTTGGAAGAACATATTTCAAAGGCTGCTTAGTTTCCCCGCACCATGTACAGGAATTTTTTGATTTTGGTGGTCTTCCAGGACCTATATTTTAAAGATATAATGTTTTAAATTAATCGTAACATAACATATATAATAATAGTTATCAATAATAAAAAAATTATTCATATCTACAATCGAAAATGATTGAGAAAAGAGAAAAATCTATAAAGTACAAGGTTACTTTGAACTCTAATATTTATATACCTCGCATTTTGGTTTGTGTAGACGACATAATTCTTCATAGAAAAACAGTATTTGATACTAAAACTTATTGCATAACATTACTACTTTAATTTAATAATTAAGGACATCTTTGCATCCATTAATAAAATAAATCTTGGAAGCACATCTAGTTTTAAACAGAAAAAAGTTGCACTTTTATTCTACTAGCAAATAGGTTACAGTCAAGCCTATCTACCACCCGATAGTTTCTCATACACCTTCACATAAATCAAAATTTAATCGGATTCTGTGATGATTATTTCGTTACAATCAAAATAATATATTCCGTATCAAAAGTTATTATGTCAAGCCGCCATATTGCTTTGATTTGGCCGCGCAATCCGTAGATAAAAAGGTAATAGAAAGGATTCATTACATGAATATCAATACCATAATTACACAAGCTATAATCTGTGCATATCATTAAAATTTTGTACCAATAAATAATAATAATTGTTTGAAACCTTTTTTACTAATTGAATAAAATGACAAACATTTTTTTTTCATTTTGTAATTTTTCTTTTCCGAAAAACTATTTCTACCATTCCCCTCGATGTCTTAATGTTTATTTAAAAATCATAATACTATGCATTTCAAAACTATCCTCCTTAAGATTAAAACGTAAAAACGATAAAATATCATTTAATTGATTTATGCGGTGAAATATATACGTAATTATGTATTTATGTAATGAAATAAGCAAATTATTGGTTAAATATTCTCCGAAAACTTCATATCGTTTCGATGTTTCGCTTAATGCGAAGTATTCTTTTTTTTTAACATCTGCCATTCTGCCATTCATTGTAAAGAAAGCTTTAACTTTGCTGTCGTTGAAATTGGAATTTCAGTTCAAGCAAATGGTATCTCACGGGTGGAGGTCGTTGCGTCAAATCTCACAAATCATGAATGAATTCTAAGTTCTGTTGTATATTTTCTACAAATTAGCAACATTGTTGACACTAGTAAGTCCAGCATTAACGGCTACGTGTTTTTTACAAATTTGCATAATCCTACGTCGCGAAAATTCGCGAATTTATCAAACGGTTTGGTGGCATGTAAACAAACATTGAATCACGAAATGTTGTCATATAATTTTAACAGTTTTACGTACGTAAATTTATTAAAAATACATAAAGAAAGTTGCAATTTTACTCATTCTTTTGTAATTCGTGTTATAATAAAGAAGAAATTAATATATTTTTAGAAGGTACGAAAGTTCTTTCTAAAATTTATTACTTTTTTAAAGTGTAAAACTTTCATCTTTTATGTTTGTAAATAACTTATAATTACTAAATATATAAGTAAATTTGGTATTTATAAGCATAATATTCTTCATCTTGTGATATAAAAACTTACTTTGCAACTTATGAAAAGACAAAATGCAAGGAGTGTTGATTAATATATTTTATTCCAAGATATTAAAAATAAAATATTGAGAATGTTACATATATAAAGAAGCATATAAATGTGATCAAATTTTATATGCATATGTAATAATTATGTGCTATAAAGTATCTATTAACAAGAATAATTGTGTCATATGTGTTATATGTGCTAAAGTATTTACCACAACGTGCGTTGTACGATGAATGAAGTAAGTGGAGGAAAGCAAGACATACCAAATACTTCTTCTTGGGAAACTTTATCTGGCCAGTCTGCATCTTCATTGTCTACTATGCATCATCATCATCAGTCGTTACAACAAGATGCAACTCCAACTGTTGCACAAGTTATAGTTCCTACTCCTGTAAAACTTCAGACACCTATCTTAAGCTCAGCACAAAATATATCTGACCACTGTTCACAACTTGGTCATATGCAACAATCAGGTCTAATGTCGCAGGTAAATATTTATTTATAATCTATTATCTAAAATTATTAATTGCTTATATGAACAAAACATAAAACGTAATCTTTTATATATTAGAATTCAATTGTTGAAAATTAAAAGATTAAACTATTAATAATTATATCCCAAAAGTGAAATGAAATGCAATATTTTTTTGTGTTAATGAAATGATAAATTATGCAGATACAAGATTCATAAATAAGGAAATTATTATATCTAGGAGATTAACTGACTAAAAAAATTAAGAAATACAGTTATAATTTGAAGATAATGAAAACAAAGCAAATATAATAATATTTCTTCTCCATAAATTATTATTTATTTCTATTCAATTACAGGGTACACCACCAGGAACGTTCCCAGAACCTGAACTTTCACCTGAACTTCAACAACAAGGATGGAAGAAGTTTTGGAGTAAAAGAGAAAATCGTCCATATTTTTGGAATAAATTAACTGGAGAATCATTATGGGTAATACCACCATTGAAACCTCAGGTACTAAGGTATAACGTTTGGTTGAAGATTAATAAAAACATAAACTTATATGTGTCAACTGCATCTATATTCAAGTTTGACCCAATTACGGATCCACTTGGTATATGCGGTGTACCACCTGTTTCTGGAAATGGAACTATTCCCCCAGGAGGAACACTTAAACGCAGAGCTTCTGAAGATAGTGTTGTTCCAGCTGCAAAGAAATTTGTATTAGCGTATGTTTACTTGACTGAATTTATATCATTTTTATATTAAGCATTTTTTTAAAATTCTAATATATTTTAATTTAATGATAGAGGACCATGGGATTTGGAAATTCCAACAAATGTTATAATATACGAGAGAGCTCCATCAAATTTACCTCATGTTCATCCTGAAGCAGAAGCATTACGGTGTAGTTTACTTGCAAAGTTGAGACAATGCTATCAAGAATTGTGTCATACTCGTGAATCCATAGATGCTCCAAAAGATTCTTTTAACAGATGGCTAATGGAAAGAAAAGTTATAGACTGTGGTTCAGATCCCCTTTTACCAAGTCAGTGTTTTCCTGAAATTTCTATGTCTATGTATCGTGAAATTATGAATGATATCCCTATTAAATTAGTCCGGCCAAAATTCACTGGTGATGCAAGAAAACAGCTATCGCGATACGCAGAGGCTGCAAAAAAGATGATAGAATCAAGAGCAGCTTCGTCAGAAAGTAGGAAAGTTGTAAAATGGAATGCAGAAGACACATTTCAATGGTTGAGACGAACAGTTGGTGCTACATTTGACGATTTTCAAGATCGTCTTGCACACTTAAAACGACAATGTCAGCCACACCTTACAGAGACTGTAAAAGCTAGTGTTGAGGGTATTTGCCTGAAAATTTATCATTTATCAACAGAGTATGCAAAAAAGGTTAAAGATAAAAATAATCAAATATTAAAGGATAATGGTTTAGGAAATGTTATACCACTAGGAGGACCTGCTAGTGCACAAAGGAAAGTTTGGTGTTATCCTGTGCAATTTTCTCTTCCAACTCCACGACTTCCACAAGTGGATTACCTTCCTGAACGTGAACAGACAATGTTACGTTTTCATGGTGATACTGCGTGTATTAATAACATGCATCTTACTAAATTAGAACACCTATATAGATATAATTGCTTCGATGATAAAAAATTCGAAATGTTTTTACCTCGTGTTTGGTGTATGTTGAAACGTTATCAAACATATCTTGGAATTAATGAAGGACAAGCAACACAAATGGCTCTGCCTGTCACAGTTTTTGAATGTCTTCAACGATCATTCGGTGTAACATTTGAATGTTTTGCATCCCCATTAAATTGTTACTTTAGACAATATTGTTCAGCATTTGCTGATACAGATTCTTATTTTGGATCAAGAGGACCTTTCTTGGACTTCAGGCCTGTAAGCGGCTCGTTCCAAGCTAATCCACCATATTGTGAAGAACTTATGGAAGCTATGGTTAATCATTTCGAACGTCTTTTGGCTGATTCTACTGAACCTTTATCTTTCGTAGTATTCTTGCCTGAATGGCGGGATCCAGCACCTAATGCTCTTATCAAATTGGAAAGTAGCCATTTTAAGCGCAAACAAGTAGTGGTACCTGCAATGGAACACGAATATAGACATGGATTTCAACACATATTACCAAAGTAAGTTACAATATTTTGGTTTCAATATTTATTCAAGTAATAAATAAAAAATACATACAAAAGACCCTTTTTGCATTATAGAGGGGAAGTTAATATTAGAGCAGCACATGGAACATTAGTTGTATGGTTACAAAATGCAGCTGGTACTGCTCGTTGGGGTCCTACTGAAGAAAGAGTCGAAGCATTATTAGAAGCATGGCGTCCAGGAAGAGAAAGAGAACGAGATAGACAAGAACTTTTGTCACCACCAAGACAAACACATCAGCAAATACCTTCTACGCCTATCCCTGTTTTAACAACGCCGACAAATCCAACAATACCATTACAAACATTATCCACGCATCCTATATAATTCTTAAACAATATTCGGAGAGTTGAAAAGAAAACTAAAATAAGTCTTACAATTTAATTTTAATTCTTTCTTAAAGAAATCGGTCTTTTACAGAATGTATTTGGCAATTACATTTTATGTAGCAAAATTAACATAATAACAACACGAAACATCGATTTCTGCTAATATTGTTATGCCTATTATGGTAACATTCATGATATAGTGAATGTAATCGTAAAATCGGAGATGCAATATAATTTACGTGTTCAAGTATTTAAATAAGTGAATTACTTGAAAACTTATTAAAATGAAGGACAAAAACTCTTAGTTTTGGTTCATTGGGATCTCGCTATATTGTGAAAGATACTGTACTTCAATATTATTCATCATATGTGCTGTAAGAAATTCATTTCATCTAAAGAAGGTATATAAATAGATGTTTACAATGTGTACATATGCGTACAGAAAAATTATTTGATTATTATGAATTGAATGAATATTATTATGCTACCTAAAATTTCATATAAATCTTTTCTATTAAAAATTGCGAGAATTTATAACTTAATTTTAATAATTCTTTTGTGATGTTTATCATAGAGTGCAATTTCTTTACTTATTTCCAATATGAAATGTTGAAAATATGTGAGATGTGACAATGAAAAATATGTATCTATTATATAGGTATAAAAAATCATCATTCGACAATTGATACAAAATCACGTTGCGTGGAGTCTAATCTTTGTAATAGTGTTAATTGTTGGTAATTAATAAGAAGACTTTGTAAGACGTGATACCCTAATAGAGGTACTTGCCATGCAAGTAAAAATTGGTACTATTATGAAAAAGTTATGAGAAAATGCAATAGTGTGTATGCGTGTGTGCCCGTGTGTGTAAATAATGAAATACATAATTATATTTGCTTGTTTTTCATCGGAAAAATTAGTTTATATGGAAATAATTTAAAGTAATACCCCTTTTTATACCTTTTATCCATGACAATCTGTTTCTTTTAACATGAAATAACAAAGTGCGATAGATACTCTGTTTTCTAAATGTATCATCAGTGCAATATTTTATATGAATTTTTAATAGAACTTATAAAAGAAAATATGTACAGAAATATATTAACTTCTTTTATAGAAGACATCTTTGTTACTTTTCGATGAATTTTTAAATCTTAAAACGAACATATAATTGATTTATAAATTTGTATAACACTGGATTATAATGATTCATCCCTCAATTTACGAAATTGTTCAAGATAAATTCATAAAAAAATACTGTTCCATAAAATAAATGTCTTGAGTTGAAAATACATTTGTATATATATGTATTAAAAAATCAAATTAAGTATAGAGTTTACAACTATTATTTTCACATGAAACGAAATATTTCTTTTTAATAATATAATGGCTTTTTCTTTAAGTGAAATATATATATAAATCATATATATTATATATAAGAAATAATATAAAGAATATCATACAATATATTTTCATTATATTTCTATTATATTTATACTTTTTTCTTTTTCAATTAATTACATAAGAAAGTCCTTAATATACACATTTTATGTCATTCTAAGAAATGATGACCAATTCGTAATTTTACACAGTTTAAAATAATAATTTAGAGATATTATATACACACATGTGACATAATATCACACAATTTACTTTGTAATTTTATTTTATAAATTCAAAAGAAACAACTGTGCTACATACATATTTTTCTCGATACTAATAAGTTTTTACAATTATTTGTGTTTATAGATAATATACATACTTATACATATCTTATACATTTTGTATATGTTTATTAGTAGCAAATTGTACATAGTTGTACAATATGTATATGTATATATGTAGACATAAGACACTTATGCACATATAATTTGTAAGGCATAAGACAATATAAAAAAAGGTTTATGGGCACTTACTATTTTAGTACTTAAACTCCCATAAAGAAAATAAAATATACTCTTAAAAAGATAATATTATTGTTGAACACAGTATAAACAAGTAGAGTCCCACATTTTATAAAGCAACTTGCTACTGTTGAATTAGAATACTGTTTTTTTCTTTTTAGATATAGAGATATTCACATTAATACAAATTATATAAATAATTCATACTTCTAAAAACTGAAGAACTGTTTCTAATAAAAGTTATCCAATTGACAATGAAGTCATTTACTGAAAATTTTTTATTTTTAAGTGTTGAAGATTCAAAGATCACATTTTTTTAATACAGTGTCATATTTTTATATTTATATTGTGTTAGAGGTTGAAACATTTTGAAATAAAAAATAAAATATTTTAAAAATTACGAACAGAAAAGTATATTTACCACAAAGTAATGTATATTAATAAAACTTTTTATTACTCTTAAATTAATCAATTTATCATAGTTAAGTATTAGATGAAGAATAATACAAAATTTAATATAATATAAATATATTTTATGATTTTAAAATATTTAAATAAAAATATAATTGAATTTGCTACCTTTTTTTATTTCTCAATTTTATTAGATAGTTCACAGAACTTACAAAATATACAACTTTTATTTATGAAAATATATATTACAGATCTTTTTTTTCCATTCTAATTAATAGGTGTAATAAAAAAATCAACGTTTTGTTTTTAAAAATTATGTAGTCGCTTATATTCAATATTTACAGATTTATATAAAAATTTGTTGATTATATATATTACAATATTTACATCATAATATTTACATTTATATAAACAGAAACAAGATTTTTATTTTCTTATTTCATTTTTAATTTTTTTGTCTTTTATCATGTAGATGAATGTTCAGTTGAGTCATATGATTGCAAAAATGATAACAGCTTGTTCAGTAATTTATGGGCTTGCTGTTTTTCACAAATTAAATAATAAATAGATTTCTCTTCCATATCATTAATAAAATCTATCAATGTCAATTTTATTGAATGGAGATCGAATACGCAATGGCTAAATCCGAGTTTATATCTATTAAAGGTAATTACGTCCTCTTTTTTTAAAACCATGCTTAAACGACGTTTAGCTATAAATGTTAGAAAATTAAAGAATAAGTTATAATCCATCCCATATGTTGATTTCAATATTAATTGACATTGTTCTGCCCAATTGCTCATATCTTTACAGTCACTAACTTCTTTCATTACAGAGTTTAATTCCTTTTTTAATCCGTGCCACACATTTATAATATTACAACCATTGATCCAATTATGATTGAGAGAAATTGTATCCTCCTAAAAATAAGCATCATAATAAGTATAGAATATTACTTAACTTAAATAATGATAGTCAAGTATACTTACTATATTCCAAACTTGATGGTGCCAGCCAGATGGTACAAATATAATTTCACCTTCCTTCTGAATTACATCAATATATTTTATCGATCGCTTATCATAGGCCTTATATACAGCATAGTTTTCAAGTTCTTTGGATGTTGCATCATATATTAATTGACCATGTATATCTCTAAGAAAATCTTCTTGACCTGGAGGGAAAAGTAACCAACGTTTCTTTCCAACTATATTAGCAGACCAACTGTATGATCCAAATACATCTGCATGCAATGGTGTCCTATATATGGAAACTAGTTTACCTTATTTACATAACATCAAAAATTAATAATTTTGTGCTTAAAAAGTATATTTTTACCATGTTCCTTTTGGGCCCATATATACAAATCTATAATCATCATTTAAATCAGGATGTGCCATGTAATATTCATTTAGCCAGTCAGATGCAAAATACTCAGGAACTGTATACATAGGAGCATTGGGGAATAATTTCTGACAATGCCAGTCCTTTAAGTACAAAAGCGCCATAGAATCTGAATAATTGTTTTTTGCATAATCCATCCAATAATCTAAGTAATCTTTCATTTTCATATCATCTTTAGACTGTGAATTGTAATATCTTTTTTTACAATCTGCAACTGGTACTATACAATCTCCTATAAAACAAATGTTTTAATTAATAAATAATACACGTATAGAGCAAATATAATGTTTATAATTTGTTTACCAAACGATATATCAAGAACGTCGAAATCCGGTGCACCATCTAGATTCCATTGTCTTTTACACGACCAATTTTCAGTTATATTCGACTTAAAAATACACGGTTTATTCTCCATTAAATATTTCGAAAAAAAGTCATCGTACGTTATCGATGCATCAACATAATCAATCCAGTCGATTATGGTGGTCTTTTTGTTAACAGATAACCTCCTGTTTTGAACTTCGACTTCTTGTACCATCGCGCACTTTTACTTGAATTAAATTTAATAATAAGCGAACTTCATTATAATTTTTTCATATATATATACCCATGTATACACGTATGTATATATATATAGGTACACATTAAAATATAGAAATCAACAATGATGTATAGCTGTTTTTAAAAAATTACGACACTTTTTTTGAATGGATACAATGTCACGAAACTAATTAAAAACTACCTTGAAATTTTGTTAATCTACGCGCATGCGTATATGTTATGTACGTTATATTTTTAATCATTATTATTTATTATTATATTTATCGTTATGTGATATGATTTAATATTTTTTGTTTGCTACATAACCATGCAAAGTTGTAAACTATTCTATTCTTAAAGTTGATTTATTTTGTTCATTCAATTTAATTCATTTTACGTATATATTATCTTGCTCTAACTATATAACAATTTCATTAAATAATATTATACATATTTGTATTAATTTTTGTATATGGTTAAAAAAGTTATTTGATACCTTAGTATATATTTAATAAATTACTTTTAAATATAAATTTAAAAAGGTATATTATAATAGATAAATTTATTTAGATTTATAAAATGGGAAATATAATGGGAATAAAATGTTGAAATAATTTTTAAATATCTAACAAGTTAAATTGTTATGTAATATGTAACAAAATGTTGGATCTAGAATTTTTAAGTAATTCGAAGTATTTTAGCATTATTTTGTTGTAAAAACATAATCTCGCAAAAGAAAATAGCAGTTTTCTTTTTAATTATATTTAATGTAACATTTCTTGCAGAAATTTCACAATCGTAAAAGATCATATCATAATTTATATTTCAAATGTGTATAGCCGCGAAAGACTGTAAGTACATAAAACAAATTCTGAAAATCCCTAGTTTTCGACCAATGATAACGTAGGTATATTAAGAAATCTGGATGTCCATAGAAAATAGAAAACTTTTTGTCATAAAACCAATGAAAACATAACTTGCATACAAGGTAAAACTTGGTAAAACTGGAAGTCAAGCCTTTCTACCGTATATACACGTTGTACTTTATGCATGAATATGCAATATCAAAACAGTAGACTAAGGCGTGCGATAAACACATAAAAGTATTGGAATATTCCCATTAAATGTTCCGTAATAATGAGAATGACGTACAACGAGAACAAAAAGTATCACAGCTCGTGTACACGAGCAGAAATGAAATTTGACTGACCGATGATTTAAACAAATAAATCAACCGGCATGAACCGTGCTTAAAGGCGTTGTCAATGTAATAGACGTTTATCATATTACTAGCTGCAATCATTTCTAAAGTGGTTCTTCAAATTTTCAATCGTAATTTTCTGTGTGCAAATTGATGCAAATATTTTTCTCTTGATTATTATATGGATGCGTTCAAGCATCCATGTGGATGAAAGTAAAAGAAGAATGTATATTTATATCGCGAATAGTTTTGCCAGCTGATTGTCATCTAAACGCATCATGTGAAGGATGTGCCGTGAGAAATTTTAGATTATACCATCCATATAATTACCATAGTAACGAGTATCATACTCTGATTTATATTTTATGAACTTTCAACTGGAGGTAGAAACAGAGTGGAGACATCAACGAGTCTCTTGAAAGAATGGGAAATAAAAGTAGTTGCTGCGTTTATTCCAGTCCTCAAGTTGGACGTAAGGAATTAGGAACTGAAGGTGTTACCCGAGGTCTTGAGGAACATTTACCAGAAGGTGGAATTAGTGTTAATAATTTACAACATATTAGCGAACGTGAACCAGAAGACTGGGACTCAGATCCATCATTACACCCCTGTGCTGGCACTATTTTTATGGAACGATCGAAACAGGCTATTGAAAGTATATAAACTTATTTGGAAATACTGGTTGAACTTATTTTTGAGCATTATTATTATTTCTTTTATTAATTTGTTTAAAAAATACATCTTTTTTAGATGGCATGGTAAGAAAAAAAAGTCAGCACCAAATTGCAGATATAAGGCCTTTAAAAAAGAGTAGCAGTTGCAGTACAATATATTTAGATGACAGTACTGTTTCACAACCAAATCTTAAAAATACAGTAAAATGCGTTGCCTTAGCTGTTTATTACCATATAAAAAACAGAACCTCACAGCGACAGATTGATATATTTGATGAGAAACTGCATCCCTTAACGGTAATCTAATTATATATATATTATTTGTTAGATCGAAAGGATAAAAGATGTACAATGTAATATATGGAAAGCACTATAGCTTTTTAGTTTATGTTCAACATACAACAATCTATACCTTTTACATAAAAATTTAAAAAGACGAATGTATAAAAATAAATTATTCTACAAAATGCAGTTTAAAAGTATATTTATAATGTCTCTCTCATTTATAGAGGGAGGGTGTTTCAGAAGATTATGATAAACAGAATCCAGAACATAAACAAATTTACAAGTTTGTGAGGACATTGTTTAATGCTGCTCAACTTACAGCTGAATGTGCCATCATAACATTAGTTTACTTAGAACGTCTGCTTACCTATGCAGAAATAGATATAACACCAGCCAATTGGAAACGAATAGTACTTGGAGCTATTTTATTAGCATCAAAAGTTTGGGATGATCAGGCTGTATGGAATGTAGATTACTGTCAAATTCTTAAAGATATTACAGTAGAAGATATGTAAGTTGACATCTATGTTATGTTCAAATGTATTCAAAATATTTTTTATTAAATATTTAATATTTATTTAGGAATGAATTAGAAAGGCAATTCTTGGAAATGCTACAGTTCAATATAAACGTTCCTTCAAGCGTGTATGCTAAATATTATTTTGATCTTCGCACGCTCGCAGAAGCAAATGAATTAACATTCCCTAGTGAACCCCTCAGTAAAGAAAAAGCTCAGAAATTGGAAGCTATGTCCAGAGTTTATGAAGACAAAGTTACTGCTGAAGCTTTACGTACTGGTATTAAAAGATGGTCAAGTTTAGATAACATATGCATAGGTGGACCTAGACGTAGTATTGCCATTCTATCCTAAATTTTGGATATAAGTAGGTACATTACTTATATCCATACATTCTCAATCAAGGTACGTGAACAAGAAAAAGGTTTGCAGACCTATTTCTAATATAGTATTAATCAATTTCAAATTTTCATAAGCATATCATTTTTATTACTCAATAATTTGTATGTACATTCTTTTACTTAAGTATTTTAATGCAATACAAGTTTTATAAGCATTATTTAACGAATGTTCAATTCCTTTTCAATTACGTTTGTTTGATTGGATTGCACAGTTCTACATTTTTTATAGTTTCAGTTTGTACAATAATATATTGTAATATCTATATATATATATATTTCACTTGTTAAAATTTTTTTTTATGAAAATATTTCTAATTTGATTTCAATTTGAATTCACGTTTTATACGAATAATAAAATTATTGAGAATTGTCTACAGTTGCTGGGAAAATTAATTTTTTAATTGGGGACCTCTTAATATATTAAAGCAAATTATTCACATGTTACATAAGTAAAAGTAATAATAAAGTTTTTACTCTTTAATTAACTTCTTTGATTAAAAGGAACAAATTGTGATATACGTCAGTTATTTTCTATTCAAAATAGTTTGAATTAATTAAATGATTTAATAGATAAACTTCTAACAAATTTGTTAATAATGATATAGACAAAGATGAAAATATTTCGCGTTATAAAAATTAATTTGAATCTAGTTTTATCAAATTTTCTGTGCATTAATGTTATGCATTTTAATAAAATTTATTCTGAATAATTTCAATAAATATATTTGAGAAATTTGTAAGTTAAAGTCTTATTAATTAATAACGCGATATGTGTAAAGTACCTTTTTATATTCAAATACTTTTCCAAATTTGTGTTCATATATAGTTTAAATTGACATTAGTGCGAGATATAAGGAATATATGAAGTAATGTATATTTTATAGCATTAGCATAGACATTATATAAAATTTCAAATTTTTTCAATGTAAATTGCGTTTATGATTTGTATTAATTTTTATCATTTGGTCGATTATCATTTCTAAAGTGCAGATAAAATTCATTACATATTATTAATCATGTATAATTGATTATATACATCTTGTATGATCAAAATCTTCAATAATTTAAAAACTATTATTTTTCTTCTGTATTTCAACTAAACGAAATTATACAAATGTTATATTGCTTCTATCGCTAATTTCATATTAGTTACATCAGTATCATTAATCTCTTTCTTTCATACTTTCTATGTTATGTATTTTGAAAAAATGTATTACTGAGGATTAATGTACTGATAGCCTTATACTTTTTGGTCTTATTAGGATACTGATGAGCTTATGTTTGTTTTGAAAAATAGTAAAATTCATTTCTATAAATATACGCATGAATTTATTCATATTATTTGTAATTTTTAAATTATAATATGGCAAGAATATATTTTAACGAATTCCTTTACTTTTTGTGTAAGTATCTCTGACATAGTAGTAAAAGATATATTAGCTACAGACATAACAAAGAATATATTATTTGAAACAGCCATTTACATATAAACAAATCTTAATCGCAACTGTTTCTCTTTCTCTTTCAATTTATATATATCAATGTTAAGTTAGAAATTATGTAAATTTATGTTTGTAAAACTTTTGATTACTAGTGTAGAGATATTAATAATTAATTTGTCTATGATAATTTATAATTAATAAAATGAAGTAATAATTTGTAGCAATTGCAGCATTTTAATAAAATTTTTAGATCAGCCTGTTTATTATGCAATTTATATAAGCAAAATGCAACTTGCATTTTTAATAATTTTTGATTATCTCAAATGGTGATAGTATTACATTCAATTAATTAGTAAAAAATCGTTTTTAATTAACAACTTTGTAAAATTAGTACTAAAATTAGAATTTAAAATATATGCATAAATAAAAATTAATATTTCACAAAAAAATTTAATACATTTTAATTTCAATATTTTGTTTAATTACTTTTAGAGATACATATAAATATCTAAGAACATATAAAACTTTTATTGCATTCATTAATTAATATGTTCTATAAATGTTGCAATAGGTTTTGATGAATTAGTCCAATGAAATGTATTATGTTTTTTTTAAATTTCTGAAAAAAGACTATGTTTATTGTGCAATGTTCTCATGTAAAGAATACTTTTAAATTATACCCATTTTGTAAAAAAAGTTGTAATTAAATTGATGCATGTATTTAAACGAGTCACTTAATTTATTTACAATAGTTTGGTAATATTTGATACTCAGAGATTGAAATCACATGAATGTTAAAGAATAGCAGTAAGGTAGCATTAATATTGTAACCGATTGCTTTTATAAAAATTAAAGTAATCTACATTTTTTATTGAATCTCAGATACGTCATTGTAAAGTAATTGCAGTTTACTTTTATTTTTGTACTTTACTATCAGAAATTGAGCACACTGTTGTAAGGAAATTTAGAAAATAACAACTAAGTGTTAATATGAAATTGTATAATGCCAAAATGTAATAGCAAATAAGTAATTTTGAATGGCATTCATAGTGTATTGAAATAAGGATAATATTAACATATCTGCACTTTTGCCTAAAAAGGACTTTTTCATTTATGAACACAAAAACAAAAAAATATATTTTTTACTACAACAAATGGATTGGTTTTATATATTATAAAAGATGAAACAAAAAACAGAGAAATGATGAAATGTAAATAAATGAATGCATTAAGACATGCCAAATACTTGCTTCAAAGTAGCCAAAAAAGTATATGCAATACAAGTTTTGTTTGTTTGAATATTCTTATTTCCCAAAGAATTAAGATTTACAGTTTTTTATGCATAGCTATTTTTAGTATAACTATTTTTATAAATAGAATCGCATTGTAAAGACAATCTTGAAGTCTGGTTGCGTCCTATGATAAACTGCTATACTCTTGGTCTATGTACTTCTCATAAGGTTGTATTATAAATGAAGTAATTTTATTGACACCTTGTTGTGTGCGTGTGACTACTGTAATATTAATACTGAATTGTTATTTATTTAAAATTTATTAATGAAACTTATTACCCCTGACCGTTGTATAATATTCTATATAATTTGTATATGTATAATATATATTCCTCTAAATTATTATTTCTAAAGATTATTTATATAAATGAATATTAGTTTATGTTCTGCTACTATTTCATAATGCATTGCTTTGTATAATGTATCAATGCAATGGTCAATAAGATGTTAATATTTGTAGTACAATATATTGTACTTGGAAGAGAATGGTATAACGGTATCAACTTTCAAGTCTTCCATTTTGACAACAGTTTCAAGATTTTTTTCTTAGTTTACAAGATAATACTTCTGTGGTATATTGCAGTAATGCTTCTAAAGAAATGAATTGTGATACATAGTTATATACACTTACTATAGACTTATATATGATTGCTTTAATATATTCAGAACAGATGTCCGTTTTAATTATAAAGCATTCTATTGTTAAAGTGTGTCATATTATGTACTACAATTACTCTTCTTTTATTTCTTTTCTATATTTTCTAATGTTCCTAATATTTTATCTGTGCTTACTTAATATCTAAAGACATTATTTTCTTTTTTATTCGTTTTAATTAAATCTACATAGCATGCAAGATGTATATTAATTAAATTTATGATGTATAATGATATTATGAAATTTAATTTATTCTATAATTACTTGTTATAATAACGAATTTAATAATTATATTTCGGAAAGTAATAGATGCATTTACTAAAAAGAGACCATAGTAGTGTAAGTTCTTTCCTTGATGAAAATTTTTTATAAGTAGAGACTTTGTAATTGATAAGATTTAAATAATACAATTTATATATATATAGAAGTAATTTACGAAGTAAGAAGTTTAACAATGAGTGCCCCCTGAGATGTATCTCTGTGTGTATGTATGTCATACATTTCAAAGGGATATTCGAAAAGATTAACTCTAGCGCATCTTATATATAATGTATATAACATATGCAATACAAACTTGCTTCATATTTCGTATAAACTTCTAACAAACTAATATTTTATAATAATAAACTGTATCTAAGAAAATGTCTTGGGATACGCATTTGTATTTATATTTTATATTATAATTTCTAAGATTTGTCAGAAATAAACAGAAATAAAAAAGGATGATATTGCATTTCAAATATATTTTCTAAATATAATTTCATTCATATACACATTAGAAATAAATAATTACGTAGTTTCTATGATCCCAATTTTTTTTTAATAAATTTTCAAGTGATTTATAGAAATGAATAGAAATATCTTTACAAAACATATATTTATTATGTTTATATTTATATACAAATTCATTCTTTATATTTAAAATTTAATCAAATAAAAATTTTAATATTTTTTAATATAATTTTTTACAATAATTAATAAAAAATATTGAATAGTATTCGAATTTAAAATACATATGTATGCATAAAGAAATATAAGATATATTCATAATAATTTTATTACGCAATAGTTCTATTAGCCAATTTTCTTTTCATATAGAAGACTCTAATATCGAATAATTTTTAAATAATTAGAGGCCTACAATTTGTTTATTAAAGTTGTTTATCTCCTCTATACAATTTGTAATCTTCCAAATAAAAAGATTTATATCGGTGATAAAAATAAATTTATATTCATACATGTTTTCGAAATACTGTTAGTATTTATAAAATAATTCTTAGCGATATAATGTATTTGTGTTCTCTGTTTTTTTTTTTTTGTTTTTTTGTTTTAGAAAATCATTACGAAGTGATTTTTCTTGTAATTCTTTCTTCGTAATCGATTTATAGCTTTGGATGTGTAACGTTGTTTTTGTTGAGAACCACTGTTAGAATAGTTCCTATATGGTTACATATATACAGAACCTAAGTTATACGAAAACTGAATGGTATGCATTTACTTTAACTATGTGTGTATCTGTCAGTATATACATGTATACAGATGCAGATAAGTTGAAAAGCAACGTACTAAAAAATGTTTAAAAACTCACATGCAACTTCTAAATTAATAACGATAGTGCATGTTTTAATAAAAAACATGAAATAATATACATAATTGTACGTATCACTTTAAGAGGTTTGTGACACAATCGTAGTATTTATTTACTCATTTTTTGGAAAATTACAACTGTATATATGATAAAAGAACAATGATGTTGCATAAAACAAACTTAAGGCTATGTCGCCTCTGCGGAAAAGAGAAACAGCAAGGCACAGATTTGTTTACAGACAAAGTTAAAGGGATTGTACTAATGTCGATTATAAATAAATATTTCTCTAAAGAGGTATAATTCAAATATACTTTCTGTAAGATATAATTTTTTAAGAATTTATTTTTATACCTTTTTTGTTACAGGTGATAAATATTTCAAACTCTGATGCATTTTCCAAATATGTTTGTAGTGATTGCGAACAAAAGATATATGTATTTGATGAGTTCTGTTTGATGGTAGCTAATGTGCAGAAACAACTTGCAGCCCCATCTTTGGAAATTGATTTTGCAGAAGTATAAAATGATTTTTAACTATTTGTAATTAAATGCATAATTCTGCTTTAAGTGTAAAATAGTTTTTAATAGTTTCATATCAATAATATGTGCACAAAATATCAATCATATAATTTCAACAGATTTTTGACTGAAGATTTTAAAAAATGACTTCAAAATAGCTCATTTAATGTAAAAAGTATTCTATTTAATTGTAGATTAATTATTACATCACAAATATTTTTTATTTTGAATAAATATATCAGTATTATATTTACAGGATATGTTATACCAGTTGAAAGAAAGTGACACACTAGTAAAAAATACCTTAAACAAGCAGGGAGTAAAGAAAAGTACATGCCCAATATGTGCTAAAAGTTTTAGATGTCAATCACATTTAAACAGGCATAAACGTATTCATACTGGACAAAGACCTTTTGTTTGTAATGTTCGTAATTATTTAGTTTATTTAAATAAATAAACATTGAATGCATTGAACACATTAGGAGATTATAAAAATCTTTTTGTATTTTAGTAAAATAGTAATATTTTTTTAGATTTGTAAAATGTCATTCAATCAACAAGAAATCTTAATGAAGCATAAAGAAAGACACGAAGGAAAGAAACTATTTCAATGTGCAAATTGTCATCAATCATTTCGTTATAAAGTTTCATTGAAATCTCATATGATAAATTTTCACATAGACATGGAACAGTCTGTTAATAATCAAAGTCTGCAAATGGAAAGCAATTCATTTACATGCCCTGAATGTGGTAAGCAATTTGTAACAAAATATAAGTTACAAAGGCATTCAAGATGCCATACTGGTGAGAGACCATATCATTGTACTTTCTGTTTAAAAACATTCTCTCAAACTGGTAATTTAAAAGTGCATCAAGTGAAGTATCATCAAATGAATAGTTCTGTAACTGAAATAAGAAGACAGACTCAATACGATGATCAAATAGTTGACTGTGATATACCTACAACGTTAAATAATTTCCATACAGTTAACATGTCAGAGATCGAATTGCAAAATACGATAAACGAAACTATAAATTCTACAGAGCAGAGTAGTTCGTATGCCTCAAAAATATATGAAAATTCTTTATATATTGATGAGGAAATTGAAACAATTCTGGATCGCGATCTTGGCCAATTAGGACAAAATAAATATTCTACAAATGTACAAGACAAAGTACCGCTTTGCTTAAAACAACCAGAGACTCCTGAATTACTGCACAGTCTATTATATGATGATGGTTAATTTTCGCAAGTTGACTGTATAATTGTTTATTTAAAATAATATCAAAATTATTTATATTCCGAATCCGGAATTAAGTTATATACATATTGATAATTATAAAACTATATGTAGTTTTTTTCATTAATATACATTTCTATTTTGTTAATGGTGCTATACACGCATATAATTTCTAGAAAGTAGTTTCAAACATGCATCATTAATAATTTAACAATATTTGTTAATGCTTTTTATAAGTTCTACTATTTAAAAATTTTTGTAAATAATTCTATACCTTTTATTTTTATTTGTTGTAAATAAATAATTCTATGTGTATACAAGTTATATACATACAAATTAAGTCAGTCTTGTTCAACTTACTCCATAGCTTGGAAAACTTGTAATACAACCTACTCGCCTATAGCTTTAAGAATGAGATAGAAAAGGAAAGAGATGATAATAGATCTGTTGATCTCTAAGAGATCTAGAGGAGGACAAAGCCAAATAAGGGGCTTCTTTCATGGCCAGTAGTGGTTTAAGTCATTATTCTGTATAAGGAATTTCGTCTATTACGATATATTGAATGTGACAGTGATAACAATTCATTTATATTTACTCATCAGATATGGTATTATAAATATTATATAAAAGAATACTTTCATTATCGTTAGTAGAAAAATTAACAATTCATACAACAACCTACTAGTTATCGTATATTAAAATATTTACTTAAATTTATTTCTTTTTATATTTAAATGTTTATTAATGTAATAAAATTAGAAAAATCTTTAAAAATATATATGAATTTATTTATAAATCTTCCATTCAAGTACCCTGCACTTTTTACTTTCAACAAATATGTACTAATATTAGCTAATACTAATACATTAGTCTTTTTGTAATATTAGAATTGAAAAAATCATCCACACAAAAGGATTTAATTAAATTAATAAAGGAAAAATTAAATTACAGTGTATTAAATTGCTTGTCGAAATGTATAATATTGGTGACTTAATAGTAAGTTTTATTATGTTTCTGATAATATATCCCTTGAAAGACATGTAACAATAAACTTCTGTCTTCGTACACAATTGTTTTTCGATAAAATATCGATAAAATAATCGTCGAATTTCTATTTTTACAATAACATTGTAATTACGTTAATGAAGAATAGCTAACCGGCCAGTGTTAGTAGCATAAATTAAACCTTGGCCAGGTTGTGGTGCCCACCTGATACAATTTATGCTTGTATGTCCTCCAGTTGATTGATTACTTTGTAGTAAATCTCTAACCCACAACATAGTGTTCCTTTTACTCATGAAATGTAAATATTTCGCTAGATTATTAAAGTCCAAGTCTTGCATACGTGGTTTGTTACTTTCAGATTGTTTATGTGTTAGTCTGTAAATAATAGCCATAGTATATTCTTTTCCAATAGCACTCCTTGCTAGACCTACTAAAAGATGCTCCTGTGTCGGCGAAATTGATACAGAAATCACAGAATTATATACTTCCGCCCAATAAATTTCTTCTCCTAACGTTTCCCATTGTAAACTGTAAACTCCTAAAAATAACATTGTGTGGGACTGTAATATGTGATATAAATATATGTTATAATATCAAAATAATATTATTTGAAATTATACAAATACTACACACATAATGCATTTATATATTAATTTTAAAAAGTTGCTCACCTGCAGCTCCCATAAAGCATGTTGCCAATAGTTTTCCGTCCGAGGAAATATTTATGCTAGCGTCATTACGTATTTTACACTTGTGTATAACAACATTTTTTTCAGCTATAATATAAGAAGTACTTCATGAATAAATTACTCTACTTCAAATATGGAATATAATAGTGATAATAATATTTACAGTTTTTAATATCAGGTATTTCCCCCTTAGAGAAGTCCCATGCTTGCACACGATAACTGGAGATTCCTGAGAAGTTTAACACTACTGCTGAGACATCTTCTAAAAAATTTAATATTTCATTGCATATAAATCCTATTAGTTCTGTTTTTATATAACGAAACCCATAATCACTGTCTGAAGGTGCATGTAAAAGTATAAGGTGCCTCAGAACTATAAATTAATTAAATAGCAGATACATATTAGATGATGATAGAAAACATTTTTTGTCTGATAAATGTATAAACTCATTTTATTTTTTTAGCATTAAGACTAAAATAATAAGGGAATAATTTTCAAAACTATTTTTACTTAGAAGTATGTTTTTCTATCTAAAATATTTTTCCAGAAATTTTGAATTAAAATCTTCTAAAAGACACATTGTGTTCAAATTATTTCCTCAGCATTATTTTCCAAAATTTCTTAACAATAAGTAAGTACTCAAATATGCTTTGTTCTAATTAGTCTTATAAATAACATACCATGATTCCTAAGTCACAAAGAAAATTCTAATTAGAACTCTAAATTTTTTGTATCATTACTTACCCGAAGAAGGAGCTCTTTCATCCTCCTCATGTAGAGGATTCAACTCCCCTCTTCCTCTTCCTGTTCCCCGCCTTGAATTATAGGGATATAGTAGTATGCAGCTTTCATCATTACCTACTGATACACTACCGTGTAAATTCGATTGAGTACTGTGTGAAGGTTCGGGTCCCATGGTTCTAGACGATTGAATCGCTTCATTTTGATCAGTTCTTTCAGGATGGTTACATGGTACTTGACTATTATGCGTCGTTCTCGGAGGCCTTAAACGGGATCTGCATAATTTAATAAAAAATAATAAAATTCGATTAGTAATATGTTAAAGAATATCTAGTGATATGTATATCATACATACCTGAATACTCTTGATTCTCTTATATAATTATTTCCAATGCCTGTGATTAATTTCTTTCCTAAATTGTCAAAAGCTACATATCTGAAACATATAATCTAATATAACTATGTTTGATTCTGGCAAATATAAAATAAATGTAAATCTTAGATTTTATTATTATAAATCAGTAGTTTTTTATATAATAAGCACACTACAAATATTGCAGAAATATATACTTTTTAATATAGGGAGGCAGAATAATAGAAGAAATAATAATTTAGGAAATATTTTTAAATTATATTTTTAAAATATAAAAGGGAACTGATATTTTCACAAATATCAAATTTATATAAATTTGATTTACTTTACTTAGTATTTATCAAAGTTTATAGTTTATAATTTACTTTATAATACACAATGTACCATAACTTACCTTACTTTTTCTATGGTAGACTTTGTAGATATTACTGCAAAGGGTTCAGGTCGACTCCAGTCCCAAAAGTGTATTTGATTATTTGTTGCTATAACAAGTAATTTTTCTGATGGATGGAAGGCAAGAGAAGCTATAACTGTCCGACTTGTCGCATTCCAAACCTTGCTATCATCCTATTCCCATAAAATATGTTGTAAATAAATAGTATAAATAGTATAACATTTTATAACTTGTAAATACTCTTATACAAAAAATACCAGTAATAAGACTGGTCAAATAATTGAGGTAGGAGTAAAGAAATTATTGGGACATTATGACCCAAGATTATCTTTCTTATGATTAAGACTTTCAGATGTCCAATAGTTTATTCTTATAGTGAAATAAAGCTACTAACCCTTAAATCCCAAACCCGTACTTGACCACCAAGGCAACCAGATGCTAGTATGTAACTAGAAGAGGGATGAAATGCAATACACCATGGAGTGCGTGGATGACCAGAAAGAATTTTAATGTTTTTTCTAGTTGCTACATCAGTAATATAAACACTGTGATTTCCATGGGCTGATGCTATTTTAGTGCTAAAATTTAATAGAATAAATTAATTTGCAATAAAAAATTGCTTAATAATTAGTTTCTTACCCGTCAGGACTGAAAACCATTAAAAATGTTGCTCTAGGATATCCTGGCAGATCATATTCCTAAAAAGAATTAAAGTAATAGATGAGATGATATTAAATATTTCTATAAGAGTAATAGTTATATAATTCTATAGAGTAATAGTTCTATAATTACCAATTCTCTATGCTTTCTTCCAACTAATTTCATTTCAGCTGCTGATTCTAATGCACGTGTTGTAGTTTTATAGCATTTGTAATATAAAAGTCCCAAATCTCTAAGCATTAAGTTTTGTAATATGTTATGAGAGTGATTGCAATGAAGCAGTTCTGGTCTCTCCTTAACCTGCTCCATTTAGCAGGATATCCTGTAATATTTATAAAATTAATTAGGAAGACTGAACTAAAAATTAAATCTCTTTTGATGAAATTAATATACAAAATGTATAAAGCATAACAAAAATATTCATCAGCTTTCATAGCTAAATCTAAGCAAATGTATTCAGCAGTCATTTTTACAATTTATTTCAACCTTAAAATTCACAAAAACAAGCTCAAAGTTTGTAATATTTATAAATATTACTTGATAAATTGTTCTATGTGCAGACATCATACAAAAATAATATTGATCAAATATTTAATATTTCTGACCATAAGTGTTGAATAATAATACACACCACAAAATATAAATCATAACAATACATTTCTACAAATTAACTAAAATCATATAGCAAGTACATTTATTTACAGGAGCTAATTTATGCAATAACATTAGTGCAAGAACTTTAACTTATAGTCTTGTAGACATAATTAACTGTTGTATAATTTCTTTTTTACAACAAATGTATGTGAATAAAATAAAAATTTAACCTTGAAATTTAAGACCAAGATTCATTTTTCAAATCTCCATAGCTGCAGGTATCCATCTGTGAAAGCCATGATATTTTTTTATACTCTATGCATAGGAATAATTAGAATTATTTTTCTTGTTTCAATATACATTCCCTGAATATCTGAATGCTTTTGCATAACTACAAATAAAATTAAAAAAATATTTCATTTACACCAATTTGCTTCCAGTCAGAATAAAAGGAGTGACAAAGAATTTATGAAATTATATTATTACAGCAAGCATTTTCATTTTTATGTTTTTATTGAATCCCTATTTTAATAAATTACTAAAGTTCTCTTGATAAAAATGAATTTAAACATACAGATCTGTCAAAAACAAAATGAAACTTTTTAAGGTTAGAATTAAAAATTTTAAATGGAATAACATTTTACAGGCTTAAATATTATTTTTAACACTTCCTTACAGTAAAATTTTTAACGTAATAGAAATATAGAAATAAATAAATAAATTTCTTATTCTACAAATATAAATATAATATAAACCTCAACAAATGTAATGTTATAAATATTATTATTTTTCTCTTTTTAATGAGAGAAACTCATAGTAGTCTTATATAAACAAGCCTACATAATAGTATATCTAATAGTATATCAAATTATTTTAGAGTATTTAACAAATATCGTAAAAATTTAGAAAAAAAATTAAGATATCTATAAAAGTTAATTTTGTATCGCATTTAATTCGCTATATATATATTTAAAAATAACAAAAAGATACTTATGTAAATAATTATTTTTAAAAAATGTATGGTATTTTTTTAAACATGCTTATAAAACTTTATTATAAACAAAGTGTTGCATGTTTGTCTGATTTCTCATTAAGATAAACGAAATACATTCATAAATTTGAACAATCTGTTACTTAAAAATTCATATACATTAAAATAACTTTTAACAAATGAAATGCGTTAAATTTAGCAGAAATTAATCTCAAAAATAAAAAATTCAATAACGAATAATCACTGAATTGTTGGAAATATCAAAAGTACAACATACAATTTGCATGCTAAACATTGTTGTTTAACACGTGTATATGTTATCATAGGAATCTACATTACATTAATTATTCAAAAGCATAGCCAATACTACCTGGAAATACAGTGGTATCTTGTTAGAATGTGGCCGTGCTGTCTGTGTTATCTGTTATCCCCACCGCTTTCTGAAGGCAACTCAGATCTTCAAATCAGATATTCAAGCTTAGAGCTCAAAATACAAAAGCAATAGAGGATAAGCATCACCGATATGTATATATACTAGTATACATAACAGTGATAAGCATAGTTTCATATCAAACACTTTAGGATCTATGAACTTTCGCGCGGGAATACCTTATAGGTTATGGAATTTTTTTCACATGCGTGTGTATTCTACACTACAGCGTTTATCTATAATTCGATACAGCTAGCGCCAAAGTTCACAATTACTTTTTGATTGATATTTTGGCGCTAAAAATGGCTATAAGGCTTTTTTATAATATAGTATCGGCAAAAAGATGATTGTACGTGAAAAAACAAATTGGAAATGTAGAATAACAATTGTTCATAGAACCCTTAGTTTTAAAGAAAATAAAATTCAAAATTTATTAAATATAGATGTACCAATTTTTAAATTTTACTCTATATTCTTAATTGCTAGTTTTGAAATAATATCTATTTATTTTTATAAATTTTTTACATATGTCATCTGTAATATTAAATAAAAGTACACTATATATATTTTTTCTTGATTTTTATATTATGCAACAGATAAACTTTCTTTTTATATATTATTTAGTGATTCAAAATACGTAAATTTCCAGAAACTATCTTATTTTCTAAAATCGTGCCTGCTGGAAGATCGATGCGTTCTCCATGGTTTGCAATAATTATAACAGTTCCTTTTAGAGTTACACCTTTTCCAAAAGTAACATCACCTGATACTGTAAGGTGGTCTAATTCCAACAAATCTGGTATAGCTGGAAATCTAGTAAGGAATTCTTTAACCTATGCGGAAAATTTTACATTAATTACAAAATATTCCAGCTGTCAAATATCTGTGATGTATAATTATAGAAATGAAACAGTAACCTTTGAAAAATGATTATCGCCCAATTTTATAAGAGGTGTTGTAGGAAACATTCGTTGAGGACTCATTACTAATGAACCATTGCGAAGAATATACAAATTGCTCATAACAAGCATTAAATCTGAAGTCTTCTTCACTGGTAAGAATCTACTGCGTGGAACATTTATACCTATTTACAGATTTATATACATGTACATCCAACAAGAAAATTTAAAAGAACACGCAGAACATATAATCTTGATTTCCTCTTACCAATACTCCCTTCAAATGATTTCATAGCAGCTCCAACAGCTGTTTCTAATTGAATAATATTTAAACCATTCGAGAAGGTCTTATTATTTACAATAATCTCCATATTCAAGGAATTCTTCTCAAGTACCCTTTCAATAGCTAACAAGATAAGAAATAAATATTACATTTATGAATTGTATAATTGGAAGAGAGAAATAAGTACCACTGAGTTTTATCCATAAATTATTTGTATTGAAAAACTTGAATGTTTTTATAGATTTGAAATCATCTACGTGGTCCTTTGGAACCTGAGCAATTTCAAGTAGGCGTAGCTTATCCTCATATTTGATTAGCGTGCCACCCTGTACAGATATATAAAAATATGCTTGTTTTAAACAATTTTAAGATTTCAATTTATAAGAAAAGATTATATTACCTTAACATCAGCTCGAGTTTTATCAGTAACTTCCATAACGAATTCAAGAGGCGAAGCTTCACGTTTGTCTAACAGTAATTTCAAAATTTTGAAATCTACGGTAGCACCTAGATTATCAATATTTGAAATGAAACAATATTCACGCCCCTGTATTGAGAGAAAATATTTGTTAAATATAAGTAATACTGTACGCGCGTCACATAATTCTTAATTTAAAAAATCATAATGTATACATATGTACCTCTTTTATAAATTTTTTTAATAAACCTGAATTTCTGAAACTTTCATAGAAGTCTCCATGACCAGGAGGATACCACCTATTAATGAGTATAAGTATCCATATATGAATAAATATGTGTATATAATAAATAAGTGTCAAAAAGTTGTTTGATATTAATCTTACGCTTCAATGTCATCATTAACATCACAGTGCTTTGCAGTCGGAAGTAAGGAATCTCTATTTATACGAGGATAACAACTTTGATTAAACGTATGAATATCAACATCTATTCCTTTATATTTTCTAATAATTCGTTGTGTATCATCATCCGTATTGAAGGAATTCATCAAAATAAGCGGGACATTTGCATTGTAAGTTCTGTTCAAATACTGCAAAAAAGAAAGAAAAAGGTAATAAATAATAAGATAAATTTCCTTTTCTCTAAACATTTCGATATAACTTTAAATCATATATATTTCATAATACTATAGTTACCTCAATTTGTTGTACAGTCAAATCTAGGAACGTAAGCCCATTACGTACTGCTATTACAGATTTAGGACCATGGCATCCCATACTAGTTCCCAAGCCACCATTCAATTTTATAACGATCAACTTGCTTAAAAGTGCCTTCATTTCTTCTCCTTCCGGAGTTGGCAAGGAATTGTAATCTCTTATCTAACAATATAATTAAATTTTTTCTAATTATAATTAAACTTATCTTGGCTTTTCAATATCTTTTTCCAGGAAAAATGTTACAAAATGACAAGGCAATTCGCTATATTCAATTACGTTTGCAATTTTAAGTTAAAAACTATTATTTACCGCATCGTCGGGCAGCTTCTGTATACGATCCCATTCTAGCGAAGGTCCTTCCTCCTGGAGGAACCGTTTGAAGAGGTGAGTGAAGCCGTCGAACTGTCGATGGACCTCCTCCTTGACCTCCCCTGTTGCGCTTTCCTCGAGTTTCTCTAGTTCATGTTGGAGTTCGTTCAGGGCATCCCTCTTAGTTCTTTCGCGGAATGCCTGTGTATCTGAGGGACTGCGTTGATGACCGCGTGCCTGCGGATTTATTCACCAGGATATTTGAAAAACAGAGCGATAAATACCTTGTCTCCTGAAAAATTCGTTGGGCCTGTCGTCGCCACCATCCAATTTCGTAAGATCGTGCATGACGTATGGACGGTTCCTTATATTTTCTTTCCCGTTTTCTTTTTTTTTTATTTATTGTCCCTTTCTTTTTAGAATGTTACTTTTGTTTAGATTTATTCGAGATTGTTACCGAAAGAACTTGTTAAGAAGGAGCAACTCGTTAGGCAGCCTTATGGAGAAAGAAGATACTATTTTCCTGGTTCCCTTTAAACGATCCTTAATCAAACGAAGATCCTAATGGTTTGAATATATTTCTGTTTACGCATTCTTGGTGACACCGTCAATGATTATTTTGTTTCTCGATCGTTGTTTCTTTTCGGGAAAATGAATTGATATTTGATAAATGAATCAAGTTTTAGATATATACAGTGGTATGAAGGTGATTTGAACACTTATAGAAACCTTCTGCGAATGTATTATGAATCTTATACGAAACACTTTTAAATTTCATTAGCATTGTAATGAGACACGACTATCGTGATTGAACTGGTACTACAAGACTACTATGATACTACAAAACTACAAGACAGCTATGATTTTGGCGAATGTTACTATATAAAAACATAATCCTGTAGAATTGTTAAAGTAGAATCGAGTAATTCCAGTAAACGGATATATGTATCCTGATAAAAATATTTGTAACAATTTCTGTTTAAATAGAGATTATTTACAGTTGCAGATTTTTCAATTAAAGACAATGCGACAAAACTACGAGACAAGATATTTTTTTAGAAAATAAATAGCAATAATTCATGAAAAATAATTTCTATTTATCCATTAATATGTAATGTGTACTACCACTTTTGTTTCCTATCATTTCGATTATTCTCTTCAGTAATAATTCATGAAATTTGTGTATAACATTTTGATCCAGTAATTTCTACTCATTTAAAATACGGTTGTTTAACTCTTTTATAGTATTGAATTGTCTGTCGTGTGCATAAACTTGTCGCGCAAAGAATTAGCAGTTTTTAACAATGTTCAGATCTCGGAATTTGTGGAACCATAATAATACTTCGATATTTTTTGTTTCCAGACTTTGCATAAATTATCGTATTGAAAAAAATAAAATTTTGTGTAGCCATTTCATAAGCATATTTAATTAACAGTATTTGGATTGTTTAAACATATAGAGTTTACTCTTCATTTTATCGGAAACAAACTTGATATTGCTTTTACCAGCGTGATCTATAGTTGCCTACACCGTAACACCCTCTCCACCCATTTATCTTTTCTGTTTAATGAGTATCTCCTTTCTGAAGTCATAAACAATAATGAAAGCCATTAGAACCATTCTAAATTAAAGCGTTCGTCTGAAAATATTACCTCCCTCCATGTTTTGTTTCACTTTTCTCTCCGCGAAATCAAATCGTGTTTTTTCCAGCGCTGTCTTCGGAAGTTTTAGCCGGTTCAACTGGCTTACTCCTTTAAGGGGGGGCTAATTCTACCTTTTTTCCGAGACACGCCCGAATAATCGCTGCCATTGCCGTATTTTTCAATTTTAATCGTATTTCAAATTTTATGCAATATTCTTCGAATGTCATACTTTAATGTACTATTGGTTTTAATAAAGAGATTTCAACTGTGTCGTCACGAATAATTCACAAAAACATGCCTTATTTTGTACGAATTAACCTTAGCCCCCCCTTAATAGAAAGTAACTTTTCCCATAACCCCCCTAATTATTCATTGTACATTCCTTATACTTGTATTGGCTACGTCTTCTGTTGCAATTTGTCATGTTATGAAAGCTAAATTCAATGTTACCCTTAACGAGTCAGTTGTTGCGACGTCTTTGAGAAGTGTGTAGCCAAAATGTGTCGCGAAAAATAAGCGATGACGAGTATACTCGTGAAACACGGAGTATATATGGTTCTTATAATATAGAATTAAGTTGTAATGAAATGACTGTTTTATTTCTTAATTTATTACCGACAGAGTCCATCATAACACAAAATATTGCTATTTCTTCATATTTGGCAAAAACGGCTAACTGGTTGAAACGGCACGTCTTTCTCGAGTAATTGTAGCTTTCGGGCGTCCACAGGCATGCTTTTTCGAGTACCTTTTCGAATCCTTTAGATAGTTACGTAAAGTAAGGCGGCTATTTTAATATGCGCGGTACTTTTGTCAATGAAAACTTTTCCTTTTACAAGCTACTCATTAATTTGCTTCCACGAGACATCTTACTGTATATTTAACGTAAGGACTAGCATTTTTCATATACAGGGTGGTTGGTAACTGGTGGTTCAAGGGGGTGATTCTAGGCGAAAAAAGAAGTCGAAAATATAGAATAAAAATTTTTCGTTCGAGGCTTCGTTTTCGAGAAAATCGACTTTGAATTTTCGCTCGGTACGCGTGCACTTTATCGCGTCTCGTTATAACGGATCT